TGAATCTCCTCACCACTTCTGCCATCTATATAATTAAATCGTTGGTTATGTTTTTCCAATGTGATTATTTTCAACAAAGTACGCTCGCGCCCCTTCTTCATCAACAAGATAAAGAAGAAGCAGAAAAAAAGCAACTCAACGAGCAAATGGTTGAAGCGAGAGATTCACTCGATACGTTTTGCCTCATCATTTTTTTCCCCGTAAAATGGCATTTAATCGATATTTAATTTGAATCGATTATGTAATCATTCATGTAATAATTTTTAATAGAAGATAAGAATTCAATTTATTGTTGAAAATTGCGTTATATATGTGCATGTGCTATTATTATTATTATTATGTGTCAGTTAAAGGTGTTTTGTTGTGTTCGCTTCGAGTGTTTCAGATGCGAAAAAATCAGGTCGACATCAATCCAATGAAATTGAGCTTTTAAAGCCAAGGGGAATGAATGTGCATGATATGGAGAGAGGATCACACGATTGAAATCTTCTAATCATATACGCACACCTGTTCAATTATATTTGAAAGACGCATCTGATCGATCTCCCTGGCTTCTTAACCCATTCACTATGATTAAATAATTTTTGACTTTGCACACACAAAATTATCGATCAATTAAATAGAATTTCCTTGTAACCAACACATCGTGAAGATTACAAGTAGACATTCGATTACCCGTACACAGCAAACAACTTAATTTTCTATTAACTTCATTGATTTATGAAAAATCGATAATTTTTTATATATGAAAGTTAGCGATGCCAATGATCAAACATTTATCAAGTAATTTGACATAACTTTATGTACAACCGAAAAAAAGGCTGCATAATAAAAATAATGAATATCCAACCCAAGTCTTGTATATATAAAATATATTTAATATTCATTGGCCAAACGCTCAGAGAGCCGGGCGAGATAGTCTTCAGCTAATTTCAATTTACTTTTAATTTTCGCTCAATTGCCTGCATTTTCTTCTTGTTCACTTTCCACCCAAGTGTCTCTTCGCATACATGATAATAATCAATCATTGTTTTGTTGTCGCTTTATTTGCCTGCCAGCCACAACACAGATATTAAATAACCTCTTCTTGTACGCAACTGCATACGGTACAGCATGTGAAGACATCATTGGCTCTCAGTATGTCGAAGTCTCATCTACGGACTTTCGCTCTCAGTTCGAATTAACTATTTATTGTGTGTGTGTTTTTTTTTAATTTTCAACTTCAGGCTTGTCAATTCCAATGAAATTCTGTGGCATACAATGTGCGCGTTTTTCTCCGTAGCTTTCTCGAATGTGGTTCCGAGATCGCATGTTTCAAGTGAATTCAAAATGTCTAACTTTTTTACGTAGTCTTAATGATTTTTGACCGTTGAAAGTAAAATAACGTTTCAAACGAGACAATATAGGTTTAGTAGTAGACCATTCAATGTGTCACTATTTTACGGAATGTTTGTGTTGTGAAAATTGACTGCGATAATTTCTATTACCGCATCATTGAAAATATTTCTTTCACTCCATAATCGATATTGCGGATATGTAAATGTGAAGCAATTTTCACCTAGCTAATGCGAACAAGCACGCGCACCCGACACGCACGTTATGACATTCCAAGTAACAACAAAGTAATTTTTCACATTTTTTACCTATATTTGGGCAGCATTTCACGTAGGCCCATGCAATCGTGGCACCAGATTATTAAGTAGCCGATTTTTGCCGGTGACAGAAATTTTTTTTTGTACAAATTTGGAACATTTTCGCAATAAACGTTACACGAGCTAATTTCTCTTTCTCTATCTTCGCTTCATTGAAAATATTATTATGAATATACATTATGGGAACTTCTATATCTAGAAAAAAAAAAACAACAACATGATTATGCATGCCAAAATTAAACCATAAACAGCAAAAGCGTGTATACACATGCCATATTTATAAGAAAATGTAGATTAATGATAAACACCAGACTGTCATATAAGACAATAAAATCGCTGCTTCATTGCCTGATAAACGACCAACTACTGACCATAAAGAAAATCGTTTATGGTATATCTCAATCTTTTGCTTTCAACTTCATAACACATACAGTTCCGATCAATTCAGAAACTGTCTTCTTCTTTTTTTTATTGGCTCACAGTTACCAGCCGGACATTTGATTGCGAATTGTATGAAATTGGCATCTTCTCCGTAAGTTCTTTTCAGTTCGCAAAAAGTTATGTCAGTCGGTGGGGGGTCTATTTTGGGGCGGTAAACATCATCATGCACAATGTCATATTTCAATCGCTCAATTGATGAGTTTTACCCAGAAACGGTTCAAACAAAAACATCAGTCATTGTTAATTTCAAATGGTTATGGTTGCTTTTGTTTCACATTTTCACTTTGACAACATATCTTCATGAAAAAAAGATGAGAAGAAGAAGAGGAAAAAGAAGAAGACGTTGCCTACAACAACTTGTTAATTAATTTTTGTGTGTACGTTCAAAAATGACGGCGGAACTTGAGAATAAAAAAAACAAAAAAAAAAAACAAAATATAGGAAACAGATAAATGACTTTCTTTGACAATTTCGCGGTTTGTTGGCATTAATTTGTGAAAATGTTTTTCCGTTTTTATGAAGACATAAAGAAAAATCGTATTTAAACCGACTACAATAAAAGTCAAAGCAATTGCGTGTTGCAAACGCACAACGAATTTCACTCCACGTACACTCACCCAAACGAAAGTGTGAAACCGAAAAGACATTCATAAAAACAATGTTGGTTTTTTCTCTCTCGTTCTTTTTCTACTCGTTTTAATAGCAACAAGCTTTACTGTCTTTGAACTTGATTTAATTTCATTAAAATTGACCATTTTTAAATTACATTTAATTCAAGCAATGGGAAAAATGGTACACAACACGCCGTGTACTACAATTTTTTGTCTGGTTAAAACAACTGGTAAAAGTGATAAGGTCATTTAGCCAGATCTGAGCGGTAATTTAACGGCTCGAGTCGAAATCTGCATAATAAATTTGTCGAAAAAACGTCAGTGTGAGTCGAAGAGAGAAAAAAAGGCATTACACTGTGGCACAATAAATTGATCACTTGGACATCCAATTGCTAAATAATTGATTATTAATGAAACAGTGCAAACGAAATGCGATTACGACAATGTTGGCGCTTGTTGTTATGGTTGTTTTTGTTTTGTCTTCGAAGTCGATTCGCATGTTAATTATATACACATTCCAGCGAATCAACACACACTGACTCGAGCGAATCCAATATAACTGAAACTCAGTCAATAAGCCAGTCAGTTTTCACTTCATGCATCTGTATCTTTCGGCAAGGAAATTTATTTGGCATGAAGCCGAAGACAAAAAAAAACAGCACAAGCAATCCACCAACTTTAATTGATTATCATTGTTGTTTTTGTTGTGCCTTTTGTTCGCTTTACACTTTTTTTAACATTTCATACGCATTTTCTTCTCATCGATATACCCGGTTCCCGACATAATTACATTCCGTATGTATTACAAACTTAAAAACCATACGCATATTTGCTGTTTTGTTTGTTAGTATGCCCAATAACATGGTTTATTATATTGCGAATTGTTACGCCTTTGCTTTTTATTTCTTAAGCGACAAACAATGATAATTCAATTTTTCACGCGAAAAACGAAACAAAACTGCAAAGATTCACAAGTGGAATGCAAAAGGTGAATTGAATCGCGTGCCATACATACCATTTTTATTGATAAGCAACAAGAGTTAATACATTCCGGTGGAAGATATAAAAAAAGGAGAAGCCACAATTATCGTTGTTGTTATATTTAAGTCATTGAGTAAGCATGAAAACGATATCAATCGGATTTCTGTTTTTTTTCTTCTAAAAACAACACTTCCGCCACATACCAGAAACAAAAGCAACAACAAAAACTAGAGCAGCAATGTTCACGAGTTCATCAGTTCAATTGATAATTATGTGGTTGCGTTTGCGATTGAAGTTGCCGCCAATTCTGTCGTAATCACCTGTCGACGCCACCATTTTATCACTTACAAATACCGTTTATATTATATTTATTCTGATCAAATTTTATGAAAATGAGTTTTCGATTCGTCAATTTCGTTGAAAACTCATCAGCGATGATTTTATTCACTTTGCATACAAATCGAAACTTGAATGAACTGAATCGGTGCTTTTTTGGTGATTTTTTATGTTTTCGTTATTTTTTCTGCTTCTTTATGTAATTTCATCAATTCCCTTTTTCGCTCATCTTCCATAATTATATTAATTTCATGCCATAAACTGAAGTTGAAAAAAAATTAAATGGAACTAATGAAACGACTATTTCGTGAGCAAATAAAATTAATTCGAAACTCAATTAGTGGAATAGGATCAATTTGGATCAATTGTATGCGCTATAAAATGTTCATTTTTTGAAGCAATAAAATCGAATGATGCAAAGAAGAGCTAAATTGTTTTTCTTTTGGTTTATTCATAATCGCTATCGTCAGAAAGATATACAGACAAAATTGTGGTGTCATGCATATAGCTCATCTTGTCAACGTTTCTGTTTCTTTTTTTTTCTTGGTCCAAATATTTCGATCAATTTGTGATTTCAAAACTGAATTAACTATGCACAAAATTCAGGTGATTTTGTTGTTGGGTTTAACGTCAAAATGCACGACACCAAACAAGCAGATGTCAACCAAATAATTGATTGCATATGATTAAATCTTTGGGAGGAAGTCTCCCGTTGTCTTTTTTTTCATATTTCAATTCCACCTTCTTTCTTCACTCCATCTCTCTCTCTCTCCATCTCTTTCTCTTGTACCGTTGTCAGACAAAAACAGCGCTTCGCTAATGAGTGAATGCACAATGAGAAGCTTCTTGATTGAAAGCTTATTAGCGAACCATTATTAATAATATAATCGCCAAAAATCGGTTTGATTGCCGCATCGCGATAAGCGTTTTGATCACCGTTTTTTTTAATTATTTTCTATACATACATTATCATATTTAGGGAATGCCACAGTCGAATGATGGTGTATTCCGATTGCCACCACTAATACCGAATTCATCGACACCATCTTCTAATTCAAATTCAATAAATAGTGACCATCATCGTATTGGCTACTGGAAAGCTGATTCACAAACACCAATTTCATCAAGTGGTCTACCAACAGCCGATTCGCATCGCCATCGGAGCACATGGCAGGTGAGAAATTTATTTTTCATTTGTATTGACCTCTTCTACTTACGAACTCTGTCATTAAAAATTTAAATTGAATTTTTGCTTATAATTAAATTGTCATTTAATAAATTGAAATGTCTTTTTTCTCGCAAATCAAAAACAAAAACCAAAACAAAATCGATAGTCCGTAAGACAATTATGGAAATTCGCTATTTGGCCAATGGCTCTATTACTGGTGTGTTGTATGGTTGCGGGCGTAGTTTATTTTTTGTTAGCCGGCCAGAATTTTTCATCGAATTCATCTCATGGAGATTATGCGAAGAGACACGGACACTCATACGAACCAAATGCCATAAATTTTCTGAATAATTACAATAGTATAAATCGTAATAATCGACCGGACGAAACGAGTCGTAGAAATGATCCAACACTTGAAAATATACACAATCCCAGTACGCATGCAGATTATTCAACACCAAGAGCTCCATTTACAACGGTAAAAGTACCAACAACCATTCGTCCACTAATTTCCTCATCGCCCACCAGCTTTTTCATAAGTACAACAACAACGGACGGCATTTCAACAAAAACTCCAAGTGTTAAAATCCTAACACCAATTGTACCAACTTCTGGTAAACCATCTTATGAAAATCCGATTACGGACACTTCAACCGTGAAAAATGTAAAAATTTATACAAACTCAAGCCCACGACGTAAGCAACTGCAACCCGCCCCAAAACATACCACACTTTTACTACCAACAGCTGATGATGATTTGGAAGAGAATGCCGTTGAACGATCGAAATTACTTTTTCCGTCGAAAGAAACATTCGAAAATTTCGGTTTTACTTCAGGCCATCAAAATAGCTTTGGCGTTCCAATTGAAGAAGATGAACGTGTTTTACGCATGCTTAATCATCAATTAGCCAGCCAAAATATTGAAACAAATTCAAACCAAAGCAATGACTTCTTCTTGCTCAGCATCACAACCGATGCGAATATGCATCAAACAAAAGTTTCACCAACTCTACCGAATATAAAAAAGAATTTCGCTACCACCGAACGCATACGACCTCTCAATGTCACAACTGAAGACGGTAATTTTGCAATATCTCCGAGGCATTTGTTGTGCTTTTTTTTCACACCCAGCCCCATAATTTTCTAAATGAGTCTCTTGTTGTAGGTATTTGTCAATCTACTCAATTGCCGATATGCCGTGGTATTTTACCTTATGATTTAACTAATGTGAAAATGGCTAAATCGATTACGCCTCAAGACTTGGAACATTTTCAATATTTAATTGAATCGAAATGTTCGAAACGTTCGCATCAGTTTGTCTGTTCAATTTTGGAGCCAGAGTGTCGACCAGAAAAAATGGGCTTATTGCTTCCGTGTAAACGGATTTGTAAAGGTTTGTGCGCTTTTATCGTTGTAAGGTCAATCACACAATTCCGACGCAATTATCAATTTATCGCCTTATTTACAGCTATTCAAGAGGCATGCGCTGATATTGTAGCATCATCAGAGTTGCTTACGGCCACATTCGATTGCGATATTTATCCAAATTCACACGACGAAAACGAATGCAAAGACATAACACGCGGAACAAAATGCTTGAAAAATGAATTTCAATGCAAAGATCAGACTTGTATACCTTCAAGTTGGCAGTATGTTTATTCTAGGCTTTTATCGTGTTTTTTTCCTTCCTTTTTTGTTAATAGTGAATTAATTCTTTCATAAGCGAATGTCTTTTGTTGTATTATTTTTGGTTCAAGGTGCGACAACATCAAAGACTGCCCAAATGCTGAAGACGAAGTGAATTGTTCATTTTGCGAGGAGAATGAATTCAAGTGAGTTTAAAAACAACCTCACAATCAATTGATTTTCAACTCAATTAATTTAATTTTGGGTTCTTTATTTAAATGTCAAAAATTAGATGTATCGGAAGTGATAAATGTATTCCAGAAAAATGGCATTGTGATCAATATGAAGGTAACTACATATTTTAGTGCTGTATTATTATGTCATATCTCTTAAGAGATGATGCGTGTTTCACGAATGAAATCAAAACGATTAAATAATTTGACAAAAATACTCAAATTCATGCAGATTGTCCCGATGCTTCCGATGAGCAAGATTGTGAACTTGCTGATGAAAGTCAAACAAATGAACCATCTATTGGTAATGCACGAACATTTCCCGTTTCCAATACACAAAACAGCATTGTACCCACAAGGTAAACAAAATCAAATTCCAAAAATCGATTCCGTTTTTTTTTTTTCTAAAAAAAGTATGCAAACAATTTTGTAGAGTGCCCGATTTGTTGATTTTAACCGGAGATCGATTAAAATCGCCAAAAGATAAACCTATCATTAAAACAAAATTGACACCAATCTCGTTGAATGACCCCGCTAAAAGTAAAGTGGATAAAGATAAGCGCAACGACGCTAAAAACATAACTGCCACACTTGACGACATCTTTGAAACTAATGATGATGAAGATGATATTCAAGGCGACGCTTCTGGCATTACGGTGCCGATTTCAAAAAGTCTCGGTAAAACCATAATTGTTTCTATCAAAAAATGACATCATTTACTGTTTATTCTTTCTTTTTGTAATAAATTTTATGTGGTTTTTGCGGTGATTTAGCCAATTTCAAAGACAGCAAGGAAATTATGATGACTAGCGATTCGGAAGCTGAATACAAATATTCAAGTTCTAACTATGTACAAGTAAAAGCATCGTATGTTTCACAGTGTCCAGAAGGTGAATTACGATGCGTAAACGGTCATTGTATAACAATCAGTCAGTTATGCGATAAGGTAATTCTAGCATTGCACCACACCAATTTATTGCAATTTGCTTAATGAATTCTCATTTTAGATTACTGATTGCTCTGATGGTGCCGACGAAGCTTCATGTACATACACATAACAATTTATTTCTTACATTCGTCCATTCGAAGCTTTGCTTCAATCTAAAAACCAGATTCATCAATCCTTTGCGTCAAACATATTTTAGTGAATATAACATATAAATGAATATTGCCGTGAATAAGCTACTAGACTTAAGTCTTCATATTGTCAAAAATATAACTATAATTTTTAGCATTATATTGTGAGAGAGAACATAAAAAAGAAAATGAATCTAATCAAACCGCTGTTTAGACATACAATTTTTCATTTTTTTTGGCTTTTTTTACATAAATCAAACCGATTGCAAAATTTTGTGATAAATTTTTTACACAAACCATGATATTTTCTTTTATATTCTTTTCAAACATTTATATTTTAGTCCCATTTGTATTTCCATTTTTCAAATGACCTTTTTTGATATTCCAGAAAATAAAAACTTTATATAATAAAACGTATCACTTTCAATTTAATATTAAGGGCGGCATGGTGATGAACGCAAAACTCTGGTGATTTCTTTCTTTCCATGACGGATCATACATTCCAGTTTTTTTTTATCTTTTCGGGTTCATTTACTGTTTGATGTTATTAAAAAATGTACGCTCCAAAATTGAACCTCACTTTAGCTATCGATTAAAATGACAAAGTGCGAAACATGATGTAGTAGCTGAGTAAGTACTGTTCGCAGCATCTGAAATTATTGATGAAACGTCAAGTGTGAAAAAAGACATAAAATATTTAAACGTGACTGTAAATAATTTGCCTTTCCAAATGTTTCCATGCTCAATCGAATCAGACCATACGCGTCCAAATTCATTTCAGCGATCATTATGATGAAATATTTTTGAATCTTCGGCCGCATCTCCGTCCAATTTGAATAAAACAAAAAATATATTGACTATTATCAGTTACAATAGCTCCAGCAAAGCAATACAAGTATAAATTTGCTGCACTCGTAATGATTACATTAATCACAGTCACGATGTAGAGATTTAGATTTCTGAAAGCCTGATTGAAAAAAAATCACAGAATTTCCACGATTTTTTTTAAACATTACAAATACCATTTCAGTTTGGAAAATAGCCGTTCACATAAAAACAAAACAATATTTGGAGGTATGAAGTTGAAAAAATAAGGTGCACTCGTAATTGAATAAACTGCAAATTTTTTGATTGACTATTTACAAATTCTCCCTTATCAATCTATAATCGTACTTACTCTTTGGTCAAATTATGGAATCAAATTGCAACACAAAGAAATTTCTTGATTTTATAACCACCATTTTGAGCACCATTAACTTTCGACAATAAGTATTCAAATTGCATGCGAAATGAACGAAATTGAGCGCAAATATTTACAAACCCAGACAAAAAAGTACGCATTCAAAATGAGCGCTTCGGTAGCAAAAAATGTTGAATATAAAGATGTTGCAAACCATCCGGTAAATGTGTCTTCTGTCAAAGATAAACTAATTTAATTTTTGAAACAAAAAAAGAAAGATTTATTGTTTTTATTCAGAATTTTAGACATGTTTGATTGATCAGTTTTCAATACTTGCACATATTTATACGGAGTGAGAAGACATTTTACGTCAGTCAATCGATCATGAATGTAACAACGTAATACATCCATAGATGTTACTAAGATAGACATCACAAAAAATCCCGGCGTATACAGTGTTATAAAATAAGTGAAATGATTTTACCAATCCGCTTGGTGTATGCAGATATTTCAAACGAATCTAAATTTTAGGTTTAAAAAAAATATGAATGCATGAGTCTATGATATAAAAGTTACCACTCTCATGAATTGCATAGAGAGTTTCGAAGATTTGTCTCAGTTTGACAGAATGAAAGCGCAGATTTATTAATATGTATAGCAAACAGTTGCGGCTAAAAATGCATAGATTGAACCATCGTAATCAATGGAAATGTATTTTATAAAGTAAAGAGAACACGCTGCAATGTTTATAAAATGCATTAGAAACATCAATGCATAAAATAATAAGATCCGAATTCTTTTTCGCAATGGAGCATTCTCTTCAACGACACAATCACCAACAAATGTTAGAACCACTTGGTTCAGTTTTAGCTAATTCATTATTTTATGATCAGTTTTTTTTTGGAAATTTAATGGAGTTCAAGTAACAGGGGCGAAGCCTTAAAACGATGATAACTATTTTGTGATAACTATTTAATACTTTTTTTTTATATTGTTGACATCAAAAAATGTTCTTTAACTTCATCGAATGTAATCATCGAATCTTTTTCTTGCAACTTTTGAATACACAGTGATGAGGAACTGTAATTTATATCACATTTTAAAGAACTTACCATACTTCTAATCTCTAAGTGGCATTTATTTTGGCATATTTTGGATATATGATGATATTTCATCGAAAAAATAAACGTTTTTGATCTCTTTTTTTCGGGCGCTTTCAAAATCTGAAAATAATAAATATAAAATTGAATTGAATTCGTTCACATTTTTTATCAATTCATGAAGTCCGTGCTTAACCCTCTAATGCATTAATTTTTTTTCGACATGAGATCTATTTTTCTATGGTTATTTTGGTTTATAATTCTTTAAAAAAAATAATCCGCAGCTATGAAACGACAATAACAATAACACGTATTTTTAGTATCAAAATTTTGATGTCAGATGGTGTCGACCTTGGTACATTGGTGATGGTATTTTGAAACATACTTTGTAATCCATATTCATCGTATATGTTCTCATGTGAAGTTTTATACTCGATCTACTTCACATTGACGGCTGCAAATATTCTTCAAAACATTGTTTGAAGTGCTATAAAAGTGTTATAAGCAAAGAAACTGATAATTTTTCTGTCAAATTTTTGTTTTCGCGCACATCCAAGCGTACATCTGTGTTTATAATTAAACAACCACTTAACATACACTTGTCAAATGACTGAAAAAAGGCAGGGCACTAGGTTAACGAGGGTCAATATAAAAATACCATTCTTATTACTGTGATGTGTGGAAAAAAAATAATTTCATTACATTTATTATTATTCATTCATTTTTGGAATATTTTCATATGAAGTGCAAAAAATGGCAACAATTTTCGGACTATTTTTAGTAAAACTGAAAATCGCATTGTGAAGCAAAGGCCTTTAGAAATTTATCAAATTGTACATTTGTACGCCAACTTAAGCTGCTCAGAAGTGGAAAATAATCCGTGTGAATCTGTTGTTGTGCATTAATAATCATGAAAAAAAGTACTTTCGAAGGTCGAAGCTCATTTGATGTCTTATAACAGTACCAATTTGTTTCTTGTAGAAAATTAACACCCGCAACTTGAATGAATAGATATCCCATGAACGATTCCTCAAATGAAAAAAGACTAAAACTAAAGGAATTCCGATTAGTAATTTAAAAATATTCAATACGATTCAAAAACTTACTCATTCAATACGATATGAAATCTATTGAGGATGCAGATTATATTTTTGACTTGTATTACAATATTCTGAATTTTATTTATTTCAGACGAAAATCTTTCATAATAAATTCTCAGAAAGTCAAAATGTAAAGCAAATGATAAAAAAGTTTCGTTCAAAATAAAATACGCCACAACAATGTGAAGAGTCATTTTTCTATTTTCACACACTTTGCGCTCTCAAACACTTTCAAACACGAATTGAAGTGATATTGTGTTTGACGTTACTATTTAAGCTGGTCCGAATAAATATTTACAAATGACATGCCTAATTCAAGCAATGGAATGTATTAAGGAAAATTCACTTAATTATTTTCAATAAAGAACAAATAAATACAAATTGGTTTTTTTTTGTCCACAGTTTCATCTTGAAAGGACACGTAACTCCCATTAGTTTACAACAAAAAAGTTTCAGTTTCATTTTTGGAATTTGAATCAGCTCCTTTGTTCTCGTCATAAATGTTTAATAAAGTTTAAATGCGTTGCATTTTCAATTCAAATTTATTACCCAGACGACAAATCTGTGTAATTGAATAGTGGCATTATGAAAGTTTTAAATAATTGGAAAAACATTCGATCACCACCTGCTTCTTTGTATTATAAAGCAACCTTTTATTTATGGTAAGGGCATTTATTTTGTTTGATTCTTGTGTATTTTGTATGTAACTGTATCTAGGGTTTTGCCTATTCTTCAGGAAAACGATTGTTATTTTGTTTTCACAACATTATATCAAACGGTATATCTGCTTTTACATTGTCATTGTTTTTAAAGTTAAATCAGTTTGAAACGAAAAAAAAGTTTTCACTCCACTTCAGCTCCTGACGATATCTGGCTGAGCTGATTAATCTGGCTGAAAATATCTCATTATAATGTCTGTATGTGAGCAAAGACGTCTGAAAATATCAGCCAATATTCAGATAGATGATATACTGCTCTAATTATATCTGTTTTATTTGGATTGATGGCTCTCGACGGATAATTTGGCTATCTCTAATTGGATTGTTATAGATAAGATTATTGTATCTATTTGTACTCGAAATAATCTCAAGTGTTTTGGTATTTTTGCTTACGTTCAAGATTCAACATTATTTACAAAGGTAAAACCTTTTTTTCTAAAAAGTACATTCTTGTGCAAATTAACGGCTATCACTGTTGTAAAGAGCACACATAATTTTGGTCAACGTAAGAAAACCCATCGAATTTGTCCTGATTGATGCAATCTGATTGTACTCCTTCATCTGTAGTCATGACTACTTTGTATTTCGTGAAATTTCTATCGAAATTCCGCGTATCCTTAGGACTTTTCTGTAAATTCAAATGCAAATAATTGAAACAATACCTGTTGTACATTTGATAATATTTGTGCATTTGACACGTACCACTATAGGCCTAATTGGTGGTTCAATGCGACGTAATTCCAGCTCCTCCCAGTCCATGTGTTTGAAGAATGCATGACCTCTTATTGGTGGCACACTACTAGAGTATCCCAAACGATCGGCCGGATCTTTCGTCATTAAGCCTTCGAAATTTATTTGATTCTTAACATGTTTCAACATTTATAACATTTACTAATTGGACCAAAATGTGACACTAACCTTCTAAAATGAATACAGCGTTACGACTCAAGCAGTATGGATAGAAAACATCATACTGAAGAATTAATTCAAACAAATCATTTTCGCTATCGGCTCCGAATGGTAGTTCGTTGGTCATCATTATATACATAAGCACACCAAGTGCCCACCAATCAACCGATGAATCATATTCTAATTCTTGTAACATTTCTGGTGCAAGGTAATATGGTGTACCGCAATATGTGGACGTTAAAACACCATTAATTATTTCATCCTGCCGAATGTAAGAAAAATTATGTTAAATTTGTAACACAAATACAAATTATTTAAATTTTACTTTGCTTAATCCGAAATCAGTCAATTTACAGTGGCCCTCTTGATCGAGTAGTACGTTATCCAGTTTTAAATCCCTATGAATAACACCATGGCTGTGCAAAAATTGTAATGCAATTACAATTTCTGCAGCATAGAATGCTGCACGTACCTCATTAAATTTGCCAGTTTTTTGCAAGTGAAACAATAGATTACCGCCACTGACAAATTCCATGACGAAAAATAAGCTATTGGGTGTTTGAAAACTTGCGTAAAATGTCGCTAGAAATATATGTTTTGAAAATCGTGTAAGAATCCTTTTCTCTCTCATTATATAATCAATGTCTACGCCCTGAATGAGATGATCTTTTTTTAAAATTTTAATGGCAAACACTTTTTCGGTGCCATTCTTTTCAGCCAAAATGATCTTGCCAAATGTACCTTTTCCCAATAGTTTAATGAAGGTAAAATCTTTAATGCACACTTTTTTGTCTTCACTTGAACTGACAATAGACGTATTATTATAAATTTCACCACTTGTGTTCGGAGATTTTGCGTCATTTTTCGATTCATTTACTACCGAACTTTGATACCGATTAAACAAACTAAACCCACAAAAATTTAACGAACACATTTTAGATTGATTTTCTCTCAAACAAGAAATAATCAACGGCCGAGAGCCCACTGCTGAATGATCTGATCTCTATAGCGGATAATATCTTAATGATATGAAAGTAAAATTTAACAATATGTTTGTGCATGCCCTACTTGAATATAAGCGTCGAAATTTTTTTTAAATTTCCTTGGAATCAATTTGGAAACGCATTTTCATCATTGGAAGGTGGATCATTTTCAAGCAATAAAAAAGGAACTTACATCCGTGAGTCTAACTTTTCCGCACTGTTTTCAAATTTCTTTCTTTAGCTAGCATGCAAAAATATAGGACTCTTCATACAACATTTTGGATTTTTGGCTCAAAAACGAAAATTTTGTATTATAGTATTGAAATTTCTTCAAATTTTCAGAATGTGAAAAAAAATTCCTGTGCAAAGTTTCACGTCATCACTCAGGCATAGATAAATTCCGGGAAAAAATCCACATTTTTAGCATTTAACAAATGTTTGCATGGCCATTGGCCATAAACCGTTGCTCTGTGATTCTGAGACCCAAAACGCGAAGAAAAACGATTTTTTGCTCTTTCAAAGTTTTGGGGTGATTACATTACTTTACTGCACACCGTGAGTGTGCGGAAACATAAAAGATAGACTACTAAAGAATACAGAAATAGGTTATTGTGATTTTCCATCTCAATGTTTTTCGAATGGGCGGCTGTAAACAGAATTGTGAATTCATGAATGACGCGAGCGCCTTAAACTTAAATAGACACTTCAATGTATTTTAAAAAATCCTTTCGGAATCAATCATCGCGTCAAGTTTGAAATTTATTGATGCAGCCACCCCATGGTTTTTTCATAAATTCGAAGTAAAATGAATCAGCTGGACGTGGGATTGAGAGAAATTTATATAATAATGGTCCGCCAAAAAGGCTTCAAATAGAATTATACAAATTTCGTATCTGGTTTCTTAGAACATATTCGTATCTGGTAATAAAGGTTGGAATTTTTCCGTTTGTTAATGAAGTGCAAAAAACGTTCGAATTTGGTCTCAATATTTATATTATATAGATGTTGTTGTGATCACGTAAAAGTTTTGAAATCTGACTTTACAGACTGTGGGTAGCAAGAAATGGGATATTATTGTTTTTTGGTCATATTTAATGATGCACTAATAATAATAGCTATTTGAAGGAGTTGCCTAAAGATAAGGCATGCCAAATTTCATGAAATTCTGATTGTAAACAAAAAATTTCATTTTCACAAAATTCACACTTTTTCCAAAAATAATTTTCTTACTTCAGATATTGGAACTTTTGTATGGGAGTTATACATATTTTCTATCCGATCGTCTGGGAAATTTCAGGAAGTAAAAAACATTTTAGTTACAATTATTATCAGCCATAAAAATTTGAAAAATATCTTTGAGTTTTTGTTTTGGCCTGTTGTGCGGCAAATTGAAGTGACCCGAAATTTGATCCTCAAATATTATCCAAACGAATAAGGTACAATTAAAAATAAATTGTGGTACAATTAAGTACATTTTCGGTACAATTGTTTAAACCTAGTCCCAAGTTTCGACTTTCACATTTGACTATACATCCCTAAATTAGCATTTTTTAGTACACACAATGTAAAATGCCATATGATTTTGTGCTAATTCGTAACTCCTTTGTTGCATCCCATAAAAGTTTAGATTTTTCTTCCAAAAAATCTAAATTTAGAGTTAATTCTAAATAAATGTTCCTACCTTGTTTCATATTTAATTAATTTACCAATACAAAATGAAAAATATAAAATAATATGGCAAAACATATGTTGTAATAAAGGTTAACCATTTTACCTGAAAACAGTCTTAATTATGTATCGTCATTAATGAAATTCCAAATGATAATTGAACTATTAACGACATTTCAGTATATCTATTTTAAAAACATAAAATTAGTCAAATAGTAATTAGACAAAAACATTGTATAGCCCTGCGCTCGTCTCCATTGACACTTCAACTGTCAACCGTAATACGAATTGTATATATACTACACACATCACAGCAACAACATTCATTTTAAAAAAAATGTCAAGCAACCGAAATTACAAAACGAGATCGAAATATCAGGCTGGAATCATTTTCTGATTAATATCGCATGTGCATTTGAAATAAAGTTGTGTAAACCATTTTGACGAAATCAATTGAATTATATTTGGTAAGAAAAATGTTGAAAAAATTAAAAAAAACGTATAAAATATGTAAAATGTTGTGAATATTGTGTTGTTTACACCGTTTATGTACGTGTCTGTGTGGTCTTGAACATTTAGTAATAGTAATTGGATGTTTCCAGTGCAATTTTATATGAAAATAATTTGTGTTTTGATTTTTTTTATTAGACGATGGCAGCACCACGCCGAAAGGAATCGGAAAATTTAAATGACTTATTAGCCGAGGTGATCGGATTGCGTCGTGCGGCTAAGGAAGAATATGGAAAGAAACTCAAAAAATATTTTGAAAATCGTATCAAATATACGCGACAAGGAGTATTTGATGGTGTTAGACTGCCAGAAATTCAACACAAACCAATACAATTAAGTGGAAATCTTCAGGAGACTACTGAGCTAGTTCAAAAGGCTCAATTCAATTCCGAACAATATTTTTACGCCAAAGAAACAAGCCAACATTTGAACGATCAACTTACACAAGTAGCAGAATCGCTACATAAGGTTATGGAAATTGAACAAAGTTTTCGAGAATAATAAATTTGTTTGATGAACAAAGTAAATCCATTGTTTGATTTTATTTCTGTCTATCAGTCTATCATTAAGTTTTTTTTATAGTTTTTATATGTTCAATGGCATCAAAATAAAAAAAACAATTAGTAACCTTCTCCATTCAACTCATATTTCTACGGCGTCCATTTAATGCGTGATATTTGCTAGCATCTCATTCATAGAGTGCGCAACGATACATATTCCTTTGACCTTATTCCATCTTCATCATTTTGTTTAATTCAGGATGTAGGAGTATATCGGATGGAAAAAAAATTGAGAGATATTGATGTTGAAACCAACTAATTGTGTTTCTCATGTAATAAAACATAATTTTTTTTCGATTTTTAGATTCAATCACTCTCAATGAATGGATCTCTTGATGAAAAAATTGCCTATAAAACTATTTTTACAAATGAAATCATTCAGTTTTTTCTTTGAAATAATAGCGTTGTTTTTCTAATAAATTTTTCTAATCTTATTCTTAAACATTCTTATTTCTATGGTTTCCTTTAAGGGATGGCTTTTCTTTTCCAATACTTTGATATTTCCCTGAAAGATTGTTACCAAATGAAAATGACAGTGATGCCATTCGATGTACTCAAAAGAAGATGAAAAATCATTGGATCAAAGTTTTTTTTTTTTGGTAATGGGGTGAGTGTAACAATCAAGCGAAGCGAATAAGATGAAAAAAGCATTTTCGTTGGATAAAAAAAATGATATAGCTCATAGTGTTGTTTATATGTGTGCATCATTTTCTCTCCCCTCATCATTTAGAGGCTATTGCACTTTTTTCGATTTCTTCTTCGAATAATGTCGATAAAATGATTTTTGTTTGTTTCACACTGTTGCCACGATGCATTAAAATAATATATCGAATCACACACGTTCTAGCCACCGATTCAATCCGCACATTGAACTCAAACATCAATAGAATATAGAAACGGCATTACTAACATTCGAAAAGTAGTTTATTTGCTGCAAGTATCAGCAGCATCAGTAGTGGAACAAAAAATAAAATGTGAATGGCACGATTTCATCATAGGTGAACGTGATATTTCTGTTATTTTTATTTTTAATCAATATGAACAAGGATAATGGAATCAAAGTACCCTTTGTGCACCATAAAGACTCTTCAAATAGGCATCTTCTACACCATATTAAAAAATAAATGATCAAGAATTTTTCTTTATTGTTTATAGAAGGATTTATTTTTATTAATGGAAAAATCGAGTTTATCAATTTTTAGGTATGTCATGTTGAGTAATTGGTGCGTTGCCGCTGCGTTTGTTGCCTGAAGCAGCGCTTATCAATTGAATGACCGAGTCAATTGTTGTTTTCACATCCCTTGCATCGCCAATGTTTGGACAAAATTCAACACAGTCCAAGCCGGTTAAGCGACCCGTTTCAAAAATTCGTTCAATTATACGGATACCCTCACGCAGTGTCAAACCGCCGGCAACTGCCATTGAAAATAGATAATGCATTTAAAAAGAAGGAAAGACATTTTATATTCAAACATCAAATTTAACATTAAAATAAAACACTTACGAGATATACCAGTGCTGGGCGCTTCAAATCGATCCAACGCATCAATGTCGAAACTAATATAATAGTCTCTGTTGTTCTTCTCATCAATCGCATCCAACGCCATTTCAATACATTTATTTATGCCATATCTGTCAACATACTGATATCGAAAAATAAATTCATAAAAAATATTTAATTAAAAAAATACATTTTGTTTCAATGAACAACAATATTATTGTAGCTAACAATGTACTTTATACAGATGATTATGAAGAAGAAAAAAACGGAAACTTACGTCCATTCCCAAAATTTTAATGTTGAATTTTTCGGCAATTAAACGCTCCATAGGATCCACCGAACGTAAACCAATGTAGGCTACATTTTTCAGCGATAGTCTGCAAATATGCAAATAAATATAGGTGATTAACATATTATTATATTTAATCATTCAAATAAATTATTGGCTAATGCGGAAATGTATGCATATTTGATGTGGATAAATCAACAAAAGCATAAAATATGTATTTTAAATCACATGCAATATATTGTGTTCGCAGATGTTATCGCTTTTTCGGTTCATAAGTTTGCCGAAATTTTCTAATGAGCAACTAATGGCTTTCACACTCGAGAGCTTCGAATTCTGAATAATTTTTTTGAAATATGCATTGTTTTATGAGGAACGTGTTCCAGCATCCTTTTTTCATTCAAGGCAATATGGCACCTGGACTCAATTCTACTATTCTGTTAGTTGTGTGTCTTTTCATTTCAGAATGCAGTGTCGTGTGAAACCCGATCTTGCAAAATAAAATAAAACACACATACATCGTACGATATATGGTGTATTCTGAACTGAATACATAAAATCTTGAAATTTCCGGTCTTTGCACCCTTGATAAAAATGTTTTTTTTTTCGATTTCAATGCATGTTTGGATAGATATCTCTCTTTCCATATAATTACTAGAGCGTACTTCGAGTTTGCACTTTGTTTTTTTTTCACATTCTCTTTTTGGTGCGTGCATAAATTATGAATAAAAGGACGAGCATTTGGTTCTTGTTTGTACAGTAGTATAGTTGAATTTTCATTTTGAAAATATCGCACGTGCTGAAGAACAGATAAAACAATACTTTGCCATGCATGGTCGAGTGTGTGTGTGTGTGTATGCGGTCGCTGTTCTTGACAGTGGATCACAATTGTGCAAATGTTCCATAGACTGGAACTGTTATGCAATATCAAATATTTTAAACAAAACTGTTTACTACGTGTTTGTCACCCCCAGCAAATGAGACTTTATGCTATGCAAGACGTATTATCGATTTATTTAAAACAAAAACCATTCGAGAAAGACCGATATGGAAAAAGAGGGAGAGATAGAGAAAGAGAAACAGCTGAACGACGACAATATCGTCGTAGTATTGACCATCAGGTCATATTGGCTGAAACAAATATATATATAAATATACAAATGTTATTTATGTAATTTCACCGGCGTTTTCATTTCCAACAACCCTGTCGACCATTCGACAAAATTACAATAATTATTCACGGCGCACAATGGCCATATATTTCTTGCCATAAATTATAATGTATATGATGTTTGTTACCTGCCATATTATTCGAAATGTACAATGTCTGGGCCAATCAAAATAATCGAATAAAATATGGAATTTCAATCGACATATGCAGATCTTGTTGCAGAAATATGGTGCAAGCAAAATGGATCAGCATCGAACTATCACGGACAATTAGCATTAAAAAATGCTTTTTTATCTGAGTGAGATTAATTAACGCAAAATGTCTCGTGTGTAAGTTTTGGGTCGAAGAATGCGACCATTGGATAAAAGCATGCGTTTGGCATCGGGCTAACGATGAAAAAAATAAAATAAATGAAAAGCAATTTAAACGCTAAAACGCATTATGCAAATGAAATTCTCAAATTTAAAGGTCCAAAGGACAACAAAAATGGGGTGACTTTTGAAATACTGCCATATCTTGTTTGGCTCGTGCATTTCAAAATGGGTTAACTCTCTCGTTCTCTGTGTGTACTAATAGATAGGAACGCAGAAAGCACAACACCAAATGTATATTGTGTGACAAAGAGCTGTGTACAAATCTATAAATTCGCAGCTATGCAACGTCAAACACGTACATCAATTCCATTTGGCCAATACAACGGCGTTATACAATATGTAACTGTATAGAATGGTTGCTATGCGGCATTACAGGTTCATGCATCAAATCAAAATATAAAAGCTAAATTCAAGCCATACCATTCGTTGTGTATGTATACGATATTTCCAGGCATTTGGTTCTTGCGTTTCTGCTTATTCGAATTCGTTTCGCATATATGTAATTTAAGCAACCGAGAGAAAGACAAAGTGAGAGACAGAGAGAGAGAGAGTTGTTCATAAAATTGTGTTGATCTGAGCAAGAGACTTGTGTATACACATGAAAAATAAATACAACCCTCCAAATGAACATAGCAAGTCTTGTACGTAGGTTTTTGGGCTTTGTTTGTTTCATTGTTTCACGTTTGCAGGCGATGGTTTTTGTTTGCAGCAGCGAATACAAATTTACATGAACACGCGAAAACCGAATTAAAGTAACTGTTTTGTGTGTTTTTTTTTCTATTTCGATTCATTGTATATACATAGCAAAATGAATAAGCGGTGTATTTTTGGATTAGGGCACAGCCAGTCTAAAAAGGACAATCATCGTGATGTATAGAATCATGACTCGCGACAAAAAAAACTATTTCATGATTTTGATCGAATCTATGTTGTATACAACAATTCATGTTAATAGCTTTCCGAAATAATAAATCATATTTTTTATGGTTTCAGCTCGAAATTGCAAACATTCGCATTTTTTTGTTTTTGTTGTTGATTTATCAATACGCTTATAAAATGCTGATATGGAATTAAAGTTGTAGCTACCATGAAATTGCATATATCGTTTATATTGTATTATTATGAATCGCTGCACAGTCCAGAAAACCAACAGAGTTCGATTGACGAGATGGTGAGGGGGAGAAAAATGCACCGATGTATGTACATTTTGTGCAGACATATTTTGATCGACAAATATCGTTCATAGGGTTGATACAGGGTATAATCGGATTCGATAAAACGTCGATTCTGTCTGTGACTGTGCGCTCTATCTTGCCTTGTTACAGGACATATATACAATAGTATATGGTAGAGCATATGTGCATTGAATTCAGTGCACAGTGTTTTCTATTTTGAACATGTTCTACGGTAAGTGAGTATGTGTGTGCATGTTCGTGGTATAAACAATGTCTAAAATAGAATGAGCCACATAAAATTCGGCATTCGAAACAACCGAAAACTACCCTAGCTATATAGATGAAGTGAAAGCAATAGAAGTGCGATTGCTTGCAACCGAAACAGGATTCATTGACCTCTGTTTTTCTATGTGTGCATGTGCATGTATACTATTCAGAGGGAGAGTGTGAGTGTATGCATTTTGTCTACGATTTAGCTTAAATACGACCGTATGCACTATTATTTTGAACTAGAGGCGGTCAGCGACTCTATTCAATGCATTTTCTATTTGTCGCATCCGTTTGGAATTTTTAAAATCATTTTTTTTTCGTCAATTTCTTTTTGTGTGCATCAGGAGATTCAAAGGAAAAATAAACAGTGAAATTTTAGATAGAAAAACACGCAGAGATAAACAGAGAGAAAAAAGGGAGAAAACGAGAGAGAGATAGAGATTTTGAGATGCATTAGCGATCGTCAACGCGCAATTCTATTGCTGTATCCTTGTCGTTAATGTAATCCCGATGACATTTCAAAATAGGGTGTGTTTCGCTAAATACGCTCTGTCCGTGTATGCGTTTTATGTTAGCGAAAATATAAATTTTATCAACGGTGCCTTGCCACAGCTTACACACAGACTTACACTGAATCACAAAAATGCGATGAGGATATACTGTGCACGGTGGTTGCAAACACAAAAAGGCTAAAAATCGAATATTGTGAGATGAATGTTACGCAGAGTATAAGAACGACAGAGTAAAAAGAGAGAGAGAGAGTGAGCATACTATGTGAATAAAGTGGCGATGCGCGAAAAAAGAAAAATCAATAAATTTCACCCTCCGAAAAATTTCCTCACAAACACACAAGCCGGAATCGCTTGTTGTCGTGTTCACGATGCCGATTGTCAGAGCAGTGATATAGTAACTAAAACGTGGGAACGCCATGCATTACATTTTTGTTTTCTCAATGTTGAAAATTCTCTTGTTTCTGCCATGCATTTACGAAACCGTATGTAAATAGCTAACACGAACCCATCATCGTTCGTTGAACGCCGTGAATGATAAATTTGATTTTCAAAATAAGCCATTTATTGCAAACGAATATTTTCATTTTAATGTAGTTTCGTGAGCAATTCTGACGGCCCATCTGCACATGTTTCGATCAAAATCGTGTACGATTTCTTTTTATACTTTTATTCTCATATGATATGTTATTATAACGACGAACACCGATTGTGCTAAGGATAATATTACGTAATATTAATGATGGAAGCTTGCTGCTTTTCGCACTGGGTGACCATATTATACAAATATTCTTGGAAGATTTTAGTTTTATTGCGCATCTTCGTTTGAACGAAAAGACATTCAATGTTGAGAAAATGGCATGTCGTGTGATTTCAGGATAATATGAGAAATCAATTCTTATAATAAGCCGATTGATTTTTTTACTTTCTTTCCTTCTCGACAAATGCCGGTTGCTTACCCGTTTATTAAGCAATGAAATGTTATATAATAATCGGTTCCATTGAAAAACGATAATTTCTCAATGAAAATATTAAAAATTGAAATGTATGGATGATGAAAATAAGCGCTTTAAATAAAACAAGTTTATTCAAATATTGTTGCGTTGCTAACGAGATGTTTTATCGGTATAAATATAGGGTGTTTTCATGCGATGTGTACGCGCTGTTAAATTCAAACGAAAGAATAAGAATTAAAAAAAAAAACTCATGGGAATCATGATGATATGAGAGCATGTGTGCTAAACAAAGGGTCCACTATTTAAATATATACCATTTTTGTTAGATGTCATTGGACTTGGACACATAAAGTGGTACACAGAACACCGTTCGGACAGCAAACTCATTTCCGAAATAATATTATGCCCAATTGGAAAAACAAACAAACAAAACAATGAATTGTCCAAGAATTACGAAAAGAGTGCAATTCTTTTTCAACACAATAATACTTCGTTTGCTTGTCTTTTGTGCATTTGCACAGCAAGTGTCAAGTGTACAATAAGCAAGAGGAAAAATAAATGCGACAAAACTATAGGTTAACATTGCATGCGGTTAGTGCTTAAGCATTGGTCAATCATTGCAAATAAGAATTCGTTTTCGTTTTATATTTTTGCGCGATAAACAAGTCCTATGTATAATTTCCAACCCTAGAAATGCACTGCTATTGATTTTTTTTTTGTCTAGATAGATATGACTTGTGTAATACGTACGATGCCACTAATGTTCTCTTGATTTAGTATGTGTATGTGTATGTGTTTGCTACTGGCAATTTTATTGGAGCGACAGCAAAGGCAACAGCATTATAATAATGTTTTTTACTCGTCTCAATGCAGCATATGTGCTGTTCAATGAACGTCCGCACGTAAGCTCGACGTCAAATCACATGCGCACTCATTGCGAGATTGGGAAAGAGAGAGAACCGTATCGTATTCTCTCATTGCTACTGAATATGAAGCCGGCTGTGTGCGTTCCGAACTCTCTTTATTCTCTCGATTGCTCGCGTTCGCTCATTTTCTCTTCCATTTTTTCGTATATTTGCTCTCTCCCTCTCTCTTTCATTTCTGTACGTCCGATCAATGGTTGTATGCTCGCTTGTATTTGGTACAGTTTGATTTGGTTCGCTAGAATACACGCATGCGTTCAGAATCGAGTTGAGCCGTTTCGTTTTTATAATTTCCTTTCAGTTCTTTCGGTCTCTCTATATTTCTCCGATCCGATGTATGAATGTATGCGTTAGCTTCTCCGCTCAGTAATGTATTATATTTGGCGTGCGCTAAATGGAATGAAAGACATTTTCGTATGATTTCAGAGCCACAGCCGCACATACGTAAAAAGTATTTTCGAGCGAACGCATCGCGTTTCGTCGATCGGAAAGTAAAAAAAAAAAAAATTATTATAAAAAGAAAGAAAAAAAGTAAGAAAAGAAACAAAGCACTAGAAACAACAACAATCATCGTCAAAATTTAGAAAATTCAATCATTTGCTGTGCAAAAGTAAGAGAAAACGACTTGAAAAGGTTTCTTGAATTTTGTGTAAAGTGCATACGATACAGAAGAATCAAACAAGATTTAATTTGGCTTTGCCCAAGGAAGTTTTACGTTCTCAATGAAAGAGATATTACACATTACATACAGCTCTATTCACTAGTTATATTCGTCGTTGTTAAATCGATTGAACGAGGTTCTCTTTACAAAAATTCTCTGCATCGTGGTTTTTGTACCGTGAGTCTTCTCCGATACGCATATAAAGTGATATATGTAGTGAGTACTCACTATTGAAACATTCAAGTCAAATATATGAAATAATTTTTTTTTCGTGTGTCGTGTTGTCGTGCGCGCTCTATTAGTGGTGCTCGTCATTTTGACTTTTTTTGTACAATTGCGTGTCCGAACAGTATCATATTTTTTTCACTGACAAATCGCATGTGCTCCGCTTAAAAAAAAAACGAAGAGTTAATCGTGTGTTTTTGTTTCGGTTTGCGGAATCGATTATTGAAAACAAAAATTACAAATATTTGTTGAAATCAATTTTTGCTGACAGACGAGCAGATAAAACAGAAATTACTAAAAGGTGCTCATTGACACATCGTACTCAACTTGTATCGGATTATTATCGCAGCTAGAGTGAAATAAGGTGCGTGTACATATGTTAACGATCAAAACTATTTTATCGTTTACTAAATTCAATCACATAATATAAAAAAAATATTGTAAACAGAATTGTTTAACGTGGTTTTATTTGGAATAGCCAGTAGCTGAGTTCGAGTTAAAACACACACACACATAGAGAGAGACAGAGATAAAAAGTCAAGAGGTAAAAAGTCAAAAATCTACGTAATCTAAATGATGACTAATACAATTGCTTCGGGAGGTCTTGAGACCCAAGCCATGCTGGGCGCAGCTCAACAACAGCAACAGCAACAACAACAGCAACAAGCCCAGAAAAATGGTGATACAGGATCGCTCGATGGCTCACTTGAAAATAAAACCAATTTGATTGTCAACTATTTGCCACAAACGATGACCGAAGAAGAGATCCGATCATTGTTCAGCAGTGTTGGTGAAGTGGAAAGTGTGAAATTAGTGCGTGATAAAACCGTTGTATTTCCCGATCCATTAAATCCAGGCGCACCAAAGGGCCAAAGTTTGGGCTACGGTTTTGTCAACTATGTTAAAGCACAAGATGCTGAACAGGCCGTAAATGTATTGAATGGACTACGATTACAAAATAAAACGATTAAAGTATCATTTGC